TCTTTGACTGATGCAGCTGAAACTCCTTATTTCCACCGTCCTGGGGGCCTACTAATTGCCAGGCACATACAGTGTGATCCATTCTGACACTGACTACAAGAAGAAACTATGGTTACTTATCCTTGTAGCCTCATTCTGGGACAAGAACCTTATCTTCTGATCAGATTAATATTCTTGTTTATATATATATATATATATATATATATGGGTTATAGCCTCGCCAGTTAATCTCCTAAAATCAGGCAACATCCTGTAGTAACTGTAGTTCTTTGAGGTGTCATAGTCAGTGTGGATCCCATTAGGCTCCATCCCTACTTTCAGAATTCTCAAACCTTTGAATTGCATAGAATCTGAAGGAAGGTTGCATTTGCGGTGCCCTTTATGCCATCACACACGAGCACGAGGAGGCACAAGGCTTGTGCATGGCCCTGAGAGACATTGCTGTTAAAAAAAAAAAAAATCTGATCTCGCACGCATGTGCAGCTACAGTGGGATCTACACTACCTCCCTCTCGAAGAACAACTATTACTATGGAGCAAGTGACTGTACTGAACTTTGTATAGAAGTCTTCTGTCACCTGCATCTCTTCAGACATTCAAAAATGTGTAGCAAATCATGCAGAAATAAAAATTCAGCTTTATCAGAACCACTCCTGTGCACTCATGCTGACATTTCTAGAAGTATCTCATTCACTTAAGAGCACGAGTCCTGTGGAAAGTCTTGCTTGCTTCAGCACTTCTGAAAATCTCAGCTTAAATCTTCTCAATGTGTATAGATTTCCTGTGCAATTTACATGCTTAAATCTTGGGTCAAGTGCTGTAGCTATCTTTAGAAATTTCATCTTGGTATCTTCTTTGCATTTTGTCAAATTTGCAGTGAAAGTGTTCTTAAAACAAACCACGTATGCTGGGTAATTATCCAAGATTGCTATAACATGAAATATATGGCAGAACATGGGTAAAACAGAGCAGGAGACATACAATTCTCCCCCAAGGAGTTCAGTCACAAATTTAATTAATGCATTTTTTTTTAACAAATGTCATCAGCATGGATGCATGTCCTCTGGAATGGTGGCTGAAGCATGAAGGGGCATACGAATGTTTAGCATATCTGGCATGTAAATACCTTGCAATGCTGGCTACAAAAGTGTCATGTGAACGCCTGTTGTCACGTTCAGGTGACATTGTAATTAAGAAGTGGGCAGAAGTATCTCCTGTAAATGTAAATAAACTTCTTTGTCTTAGCGATTGGCTGAAAAAGAAGTAGGACTGAGTGGACTTGTAGGCTCTAAAGTTTTACATTGTTTAGTTTTTGAGTGCAGTTATGTAACCAGAAAAACCTACATTTGTAAGTTGTACTTTCATGATAAAGAGATTGCATTAAGGTACTTGTATGAGGTGAATTGAAAAATACTATTTCTTTTGTTTATCATTTTTTACAGTGCAGATACGTGTAATAAAATATAAAGTGAGCTCTGTACACTTGGTATTCTGTGTTATAATTGAAATTGGCATATTTGAAAATGTAGAAAAACATCCAAAAATATTTAATAAATTTCAATTGGTATTCTATTGTTTAACAGTGCGATTAATCACGATTAATTTTTTAAATCATGATTAATTTTTTTTAGTTAATTGCTTTCATCGACAACCCTAGTTAAAAGGTATTTCAAAAAGTGAAACATACCAGTTTTTCAAAGTGCTATCTCTCAGGAACACATTTAACTCAAATTTTGTGATAAGTGTCTTCTGACTGTATATTTCAAATGAAGAGAAGCTTTTGAAGATAGATGAGGATGCGAATTGGGCTTACAATAGAAAGGATTCCTCTACTGTGGAAACACATCTAATGTTTCTTTTATGCCTTGTTTGGCCAATTAAAGCACAGTATTTAAAATGGTTCCTGAAATCCACATCTACAGTATTTATTTCTTAAATGTAGTATCTGATACAATAGTGGGACTAATTAGCTGCTGCCTCTTTAGTTGAAATTTGTCCACCACTTTTCAATCCCAACTTCAGTCTGGTCAGTGGCAAGAGGCATTGAATTGAGGGTCTCTTTTATATTAATTTTGGTGAAATAAATGGTCCCAAAGAGTTAAAGGTGTTAACATGACCCTTTCACTGTCCAACATTAAACAGCACTAAACAAGATTCGGGGTTGGGTGTACAGGGACCTCAGCCTGCTTAGTGCCGGGGAGAAAACACCATTAAAAATCTTTTTATTAAAGATGCAGAAAAGAAGAGGGGAAAGGTTAAAACATTTGAAATGTAAATTAAGTAGGGTGTTCATTTTAACAACAAAAAGAACAGGAGGACTTGTGGCACCTTAGAGACTAACAAATTTATTAGAGCATAAGCTTTTGTGGGCTACAGCCCACTTCATCGGATGCATAGAATGGAACATATAGTAAAACGATATTTACACACACACACACACACACACACACACACAGAGAGAGAAGGGGGAAGTTGCCATACAAACTGTAAGAGGCTAATTAATTAAGATGAGCTATTATCAGCAAGAGAAAAAAACTTTTGTAGTGATAATCAAGCTGGCCCATTTAGACAGTTGACAAAAAGGTGTGAGGATACTTAATATGGGGAAATAGATTCAATATGGGTAATGACCCAGCCACTCCCAGTCTCTATTCAAACCCAAGTTCATGGTATCTAGTTTGCATATTAATTCAAGCTCAGTAGTTTCTCATTGGAGTCTGTTTTTGAAGCTTTTCTATTGCAAAACTGTCACCCTTAAATCTTTTCCTGAGTGGCCAGAGAGGTTGAAGTGTTCTCCTACTGGTTTTTGAATGTTATGATTCCTGATGTCAGATTTGTGTCCATTTATTCTTTTGCATAGAGACTGTCCGGTTTGGCCAATGTACATGGCAGAGGGGCATTGCTGGCACATGATGGCATAGATCACATTGGTAGATGTGCAGGTGAACGAGCCCCTGATGGCGTGGCTAATGTGATTAGGTCCTATGATGGTGTCACTTGAATAAATATGTGGACAGAGTTGGCATGGGCTTTGTTGCAAGGATAGGTTCCTGGGTTAGTGTTTTTGGTGTGTGGTGTGTGGTTGCTGGAGAGTGTTTGCTTCAGGTTGGGAGGCTGTCTAAGCGAGGACTGGCCTGACTCCCAAGATCTGTGAGAGTGAGGGATTGTCCTTCAGGATAGGTTGTAGATCTTTGATGATGCGCTGGAGAGGTTTTAGTTGGGGGCTGAAGGTGACGGCTAGTGGAGTTCTGTTATTTTCTTTGTTGGGCCTGTCCTGTAGTAGGTGACTTCTGGGTACTCTTCTGGCTCTGTCAATCTGTTTCTTCAATTCACCAGATGGGTATTGTAGTTTTAAGAATGCTTGATATGAGAAACTGCTGAGCTTGAATTAATATGCAAACTAGATACCATGAACTTGGGTTTGAATAGAGACTGGGAGTGGCTGGGTCATTACACATATTGAATCTATTTCCCCATGTTAAGTATCCTCCCACCTTCTTGTCAACTGTCTAAATGGGCCAGCTTGATGATCACGACAAAAGTTTTTTTTCTCCTGCCAATAATAGCTCATCTTAACTAATTAGCCTCTTACAGTTTGTATGGCAACTTTCACCTTCTCTGTATGTATATCTATATCTTCTTACTATATGTTCCATTCTATGCATCCGATGAAGTGGGCTGTAGCCCACGAAAGCTTATGCTCTAATAAATGTATTCGTCTCTAAGGTGCCATGAGTATTCCTGTTCTTTCTGCGGATACAGACTAACACGGCTGCTACTCTGAAACCTACCATTTTAACAACGTTCCCTGTTCCCTTTCCCTCTAGCTGGACAGTGTTTTTAGAAGGAATCTCCTCTTTTTGACAGTGTTAGATTATGGTAATTTCCCTTTTTGGGGAAAAGAAAAAAAGTGAGTTAAGATGGGCTGGGGCTGTTGTTGTTAAAGTCTGATCCTGTTTCTAGAGAAGACAACAAGAGAAATGCACATAAATGAGGGAGAGAAGATGGGCAAAGATGGAAAATGCAGCTGCGGTCTGGTGCTCACTTTCACTTGCTGCAGTTTCACTGCTGGAAAAACACAGGTACAGCGCCTGGTCGTCTTAGCCACCCCAAGACCTGGCACCGTTGTACAAGAGTTCAGCTGTTTAGGGCATTGCTTTTACTTGCCTCTCTGGTCACAGGCTTATGGCAGTATTGCAAAATACGCAGTCTTAGCCAGCCAAACCAGACTCTTACTGGACAGAAGGAAAAAGGAGAGTGATAGGGAAGAGAATAAGTAAGAAGGGGAAGGAAAAGAGTTCATGGGAGGAGGGGTCGCGATGGAGAGAACACATCATCTCACATACCAGATAGTGGTTTGGATTCAGTTGGAGCCAGTGGAGGTGGCAGTGTCATCTAGGTGCCTTGCTTTGGCCTGGTCTGGTCAGAACATGTCTCAGCATTAGGATGGTGAAGGCCCAATCGTGTTATGGTAGACCCTGGGGTCCCAGGAGTTGCTGGGATTGTTTTACCAATTTTCCTCTTGATCTCTCTCTTTTTTAAAAGGACCTCAAAAGATAGTGATGGGCAAAATAGCCCTGTCCCTTCATTATTTTATCCACCAATTAAGCTTAATTTCCAGCACACGAATTTTGGTTTGCTAATTTTCCATTCCCACATTCTTCTCATTTAAAAGGCATGATCTTCACACAATCCTTGAATTATCCCAGGAGGCCACCTTGTTTGGACTAATTCAGTTGGTCTCCCTTTTGCACCCTTTCCTATCAACATTTGTTGTTGTTAGGGTTATTGTGACATTTTATGACTGTCACTCACTTTTCACAGTTGAGCTCCCAATTAGGTAAATTTGTAGACCCAATTATCACAACATATCTTCTCAACTGATTTTTTTTAATATAATAAACTTGATCTCTGTCATCATGATTCTGTAACATAACATATATATGATTTCCTCATTGTTTACAAGTTTTTGGTAACTGTTCCATGCCTTATTGTACACAGGAGCAGCAGAGAAGAGCTCTAAACATGGAGCAGAGGATCGGACCCAAAACATCATCATGGCCATGAAGGATCGCATGAAGATTCGGGAACGGAACAAGCCAGAAATTTTTGACTTGATCAGAGATGTTTTTAGTGAGAACAAATTAACACATGCTCAGCAAATGAAAACAGTGAAACAGAGCGTGCTTGATGGCACTTCCAAATGGTCAGCTAAAATCACTATCACCGGTAAGCTGAAGCTAGACAAATTCAGACTGGAAATAAGATGTAAATTTTAGCAGTGAGCATAGGCGCTGATTCCGTGGGTGCTCCAGAGTTGGAGCACCCACGGGGAAAAATTGGTGGGTGCTTTGCACCCACTGGCAGCTCCCCACCCATCCTGCCCCCCCAACCCCCCAGCTCACCTCTGCCTCCACTCTGCCTCCTCCCCTGAGCGCGCGCTACTGGGTCCTGCTTCTCCCCCCTCCCTCCCAGCGCTTGTGGTGTGAAACAGCTGTTTCGCGCGGCAAGCCTGGGAGGGAGGGGGCCAGAGGGGGAATGCGGTGCTCTTGGGGGAGGAGGCTGGGCCGGGCAGGTATTGGGGAAGGGATCCAATAGGGGCAGGGAGAGGCGGATTTGGGCGGGGCGTGGGGGGGCGGGGCAAGGGGGGGCGTGAGCTCCCACTGGTGCTGACAAAAGTTGGTGCCTGTGGCAGTGAGAGTAACCATTGGAACAACTGACCAAAGGCTGTGCTGGATTCTCCATCAATGAGCGTTTTTAAGTCAAGACTGGATGTTTTTCTAAGAGATCTGCTCTAGGAATTATTTTGGGGCAGTTGCATGGTCTCTGTTATACAGGAGTTCAGACAAGATGATCGCAATGGACGCTTCTGGCCTTGGAATCTGTGGTTCTCAGTGTTAAACTGTCATTGGTGAGCATTCCTGTTTCTGAGGAGCGTAGTGCAGTAAGCTGTTCTGTCACACAGTACATGCCACATCTTTTAGCACTGCAGGCTTATAGCAAAACTTTATTATTATTTTCTCCACAGTGGTTTGTGCTCAGGGTCTGCAGGCCAAGGACAAAACTGGATCCAGTGATCCATATGTGACGGTTCAAGTTGGCAAAACAAAGAAGAGAACTAAAACAATTTTTGGGAATCTGAACCCTGTTTGGGAGGAGAAATTCCACTTGTAAGTACTCACTGAATATCTGCCCCTGGTCTGATCCATTTATATTGTCTGTATTTCTTCACGAGCATACCTTTCTCTCCTGTGTCTGTACGTGGTACTTCACCACTTGTAGTCGTGACTGTGTTTTGTCTGTTTCTGTTTTACATAGTGTGTGCTCATAGCATAATCTGTATAATGATATATACTGAACTATACAAAAGTGTGCACATCCATTTTGCCTCCACTTCTTGTTCAATAGTTCATAGATTCTGTATCTACTTTTATCAATATTTGTATAGAAAGTTGTTGTTTAGACATCCCCAGAGAGGGAAGAAAATCCTTAATAGTTTGAAGACTTACACTGTTTCTTTATAATAAACACCCTTTGAAATTCTTTAGAAAGGTAGCAGTAAAACACACACAAAAGAAAAGACCTCACCATTCCTTTCAATTGTTACTCCTTGCTGTGGTGTTTGAACTGGCTTGTTAGCGCATTGGGGGTAGCTTGTCACTTATTTTTAAAGCTACTTGCTCTCCTACAGTGCTGTAAAAATAAAATAATGATAACTTGAGGGATAATCTGTTTACAAGATTATCAACCTATTTTGGGCTAAATTTAAAATAAAGGCTGCTTATATGGCAAATAAGCGCCAAAGGCTGAGTCAGTGAGCCCAGGATATGGTTATCGAGTTAATAAGAAGCACTGTCAAGTTATAGGTACTCATTTTAATTAAATGTAAAAATAATAAATGGAAAAAAAAAAAGCTTCTGAAAATAAAGTGGACTGCGAAGATTCTGGATCCTAAATTTTTTTTAGCTAAAACCTCTTTGTCTCCTTCTTACCATCAAACTATCAATCCGTCTCTCCCTCTCCTTTTTCTCTCTCCTTCTCTTCTTTTCTTCTTTACCCCACTCCTTCCTGCTCTAGGTCAGCAAGGCTCTTCTCTGCACACTGAAATATATTTGTTTGCATTGTATTTCAAAACTGAGTTTGTGACCCCCAAGCCTGTCTCTACCATATACAATGAAAACAAAAAATGAGATTCTTTTATTTTAACATTATTAATCCAAGGTAAAGTTATTACCTCCTAAACAGGAACTACCGTAGGTTATTACTGTAATAACTCTAGAATCAACATAGCAATAAGTCTGCCTCCATCTATATTTGTGTGAGTGCCATTAAAATCTTGATTTATGGCAGTGTCGTTACCATGGTATTTACAAGTATGTTCCAGTCTAATTTTAGGGAATATAACAAATACTGTGGTAAAGATAATACAGTGTGATAAATTTCAGTGTTTTAATTGTGCTACTGTACAAGTTTTATGGAAATATCCATGATTCAGCCAGTAATATGAAAATTGATCTTAGTGCATACATTCATTTTAGTATTGCTAGGGGACAGAGCACCAAGAAGGATGAGGTGTTGAGAGGAGCTGAGGAAAGTGGGATTTAAATAGACAAGATATTGAGGTTTAAGGATGCTGAAAAAGAACTGTACCAGGTTCAAGGTGTTCCTAGGTGTTGCAACTGACCTTGTTGTGGATAAAAGGAGAGCCATTTTTAATTGTCTAGGACACAGGAGTCTGTCTTCTCAGAGATTTAGGTCAATTGCAGACATGCTATTTATGCTTGGTGCTTATGGATTCCTTCTGCTGATGACTCTTCAAATGCTGACATTTCCTAGCATTCATAATCGGAGCCTAGCTGTTGAACATATGCTACACAACTTGACCAAAAACATTCTTCACTGGGAAATCTCTCTCCCAAGGAGGCTTATCCAAGAGAAAAATCATCATTTTTTAAATAAAGAAATTATTTGTTAGATCTTATAATCAAAGTGAGGAGCTTGTATCAGTTATTGTAGAGGTTGTGATAGTACCTGCAATGTACTAGGCAAGATACAGTTCCTACCTTAAGAACTTATGGTCTGAAAGACAAAAAATACCCAAGGGAGACAAATCAAACCAGCAGAGGGGTCAGGTCAGTGGGTTGGTAAGTTCTACTTCCATTGGTTTTTGCACAAGTTGGTTTCATTGGGTTTTCATTGGTAGCAGAGGGGCCAGGTCAGGGGGTGGTCATAGGTTGGTAGTTCTACTTTCATTGGTTTTTGCTTTCTGTTTGGTTTATTGCATGAACTCTTTACAGCTTTCCTCTCCAGTGATTACTAGCTGGCTAACTTCTCAAACGTGTCTTCATTCAACAGAAGCACAATTAAATGCTCTTTTCGAAGGTTTATTACAAAGTAGGATGTCTGTCTAAGTGATAAAAAGTTTAGCCATTTTAGGGTTCCTTTGTAACCCTTGATGTGATGCAAGGTGGTGTATGTACAACTGAATGCCTTATAGGGCTATTCACAGACATTGGTACAAGAAAATTCATGAAAGTGTTCAGAAACTGTTGTCAATGCTTTGTGTAAAGGCTTGTCTACACTTTCAACGCTGCTGCTATAGTACTTAAAGACACTACCTACGCCGATGGGGGAGCTGCTTCTGTCGGCCTAGTTAATCCACTGCCGCAAGAGGTGGAAGCTGTGCTGATGGGAGAAGCCCTCTCCTGAGGCCTGGTCTACGCTGGGGGGGATCGAGCTAAGATACGCAACTTCAGCTATGAGAATAGCGTAGCTGAAGTCGACGTAGCTTACATCGATTTAGAATCACTTACTTCACGTCCTCGCTGTGCGGGATCGACAGCCGTCGCTCCCCCATCAACTCCGCTTCCGCCTCTTGCCGTGGTGGAGTTCCGGAGTCGATGGCAGAGCGATCAAGGATCAATTTATCGCATCTACACTAGACGTGATAAATCGATCCCCGATAGATCGATCACTACCCGCTCATCCGGCGGGTAGTGTAGACATGACCTTAGTGACGTAGTTATACCGACATTAGTTGGTAGTGTAGACCAAGCCTAAGAATGGAGTACCTATTCCAAGTATGGTTTTCCCGTGCTTGTTAGAATAAGGCGAGACAAGGTGCATACGAGTAAACTCCTTGGTTAAAGGTGATCTCCCTCCTTTCCTGTATGTTTCTTTTCTCTGAAAAAAGAACATATGGCCCAGCCTGGAAATTCAGGTTTAGAACCATGTTTCCAAGAATAAAACTTTGAGATCTTTTTGGGTCTGCATTCCCAAATCAGTACTGTGTAGAGTACCTATTGCATTCCCAAATCAGTACTATTTTAGACCATTATCTGCCTACATTGCCACAGGATTAGCATTTAGATTAATAATCAGTTCTCAGAGTGCATTTACATCTCTGAGAGTAAGCTATTTGATAGAGCAGGTAGTAGGCCATCCTTGTTGTTGCCTGCTGGAAACCTGTAACTGCCTCCACATCCATTACAGAAAGTCCTGAGGAATTTAATAGGAATGAAACCAAGTGAGTTTCACAGACATTTAATAAGCTTCTATTGAAATTACTCTAAAGACCTTTCAAAATGTGAGACTGATCCCTTCCTTCTGCACAATTACATTTGATTGGAAATGTATGGGGCATGCACTTTATTTCTATGTGTGTAGCGTCTATCACAAGGAAGCCTATATCCTGATTATCTGTGGCCACTGCCACATGAGAATAAATGGGATATTTTGAACTATCCAGTACGATTTTAAGGCAGGATTCTAATTCTTTGTTAGATTCTATAAGATGGTTTAAAGCACTCTAGGAAAGTTTAGGAGTACTTGTGGCACCTTAGAGACTAACAAATTTATTTGAGCATAAGCTTTCGTGAGCTACAGCTCACTTCATCGTATGCATGCAGTGAAAAATACAGTGGGAAGATTTATGTACACAGAGAACATGAAACAATGGGTGTTACCATACGCATTGTAACAAGAGTGATCACTTAAGGTGAGCTGTTACCAGCAGGAGAGCGGGGCGGGGGGGGGGGAACCTTTTGTAGTGATAATCAAGGTGAGCCATTTCCAGCACTTGACAAGAACGTCTGAGGAACAGTGAGGGGTGGGAGTGGGGGGAATAAACATGGGGATATAGTTTTACTTGATGATGCCCTGGAGAAGTTTTAGTTGGGGGCTGGACCCATCTGGACCCATGGAAAAGAAGCCCTTGAGGAATTCCACCATGATTTCAAAAATTTCCATCCCACCATCAGCTTCAGCCTGGACCAGTCCACACAAGAGATCCACTTCTTGGACACTATGGTGCTAATAAGCGATGGTCACATAAACACCACCCTATACCGGAAACCTACTGACCGCTATTCCTACCTACATGCCTCCAGCTTTCATCCAGACCACACCACACGATCCATTGTCTACAGCCAAGCTCTACGGTACAACCACATTTGCTCCAGCCCCTCAGACAGAGACAAACACCTACAAGATCTCTATCAAGCATTCTTACAACTACAGTACCCACCTGTTGAAGTGAAGAAACAGATTGACAGATCCAGAAGAGTACCCAGAAGTCACCTACTACAGGACAGGCCCAACAAAGAAAATAACAAAATGCCACTGGCTGTCACCTTCAGCCCCCAACTAAAACCTCTCCAACGCATTATCAAGGATCTACAACCTATCCTGAAGGATGACCCATTACTCTCTCAGATCTTGGGAGACAGGCCAGTGCTCGCTTACAGACAGCCCCCCAACCTGAAGCAAATACCAGCAACCACACAACAGAATCACTAACCCAGGAACCTATCCTTGCAACAAAGCCCGTTGCCAACTGTGCCCGCATATCTATTCAGGGGACACCATCATAGGGCCTAATCACATCAGCCACACCATTAGAGGCTCATTCATCTGCACATCTACCAATGTGATCTATGCCATCATGTGCCAGCAATGCCCCTCTGCCATGTACATTGGTCAAACTAGACAGTCTCTATGTAAAAGAATAAATGGGCACAAATCAGACGTCAAGAATTATAACATTCAAAAACCAGTCGGAGAACACTTCAATCTCTCTGGTCACTCAATTATAGACCTAAAAGTTGCAATTCTTCAACCAAAAAACTTCAAAAACAGATCCAAGGAGAGACTGCTGAATTGGAATTAATTT